GAGCTACGATTATAACTTCTCAATTTCATATCTAAATTACATTAATTTCGAGCTGTGGGAGGAGGGGTGGGCTCGGGCGCAGGTTTTTCGTCACATGTGGCGAAAAGCTTGCGCAAATTGTAAGTGCCTTTTGTTCGAACTTGCACTTCTCTTTACAAATATTCTTTAACTTGTTACATATTAGATTGTAGTAATAGCCATTAGTTACATATTAGATTGTTGTAATAGCATATTAGATTGTGGTAATAGCCTATCATTTTTATTGTCAATTGCTCGAAACTTAAAAGAAAGTTCTTCCAACTTTCTTCTTTACCCCTTTTCTCTATAAAGTTTTAAATTATACAAGTGCAATTTTAGAACAAAAGGCACATTTAGGGCTTAATCATTTTTGTATGTTGCATGTTTTTATTTTATGTAAGTAATTTATTTATTCATATGTATCTTAATTGTATTTGTATGTTTCAGGGTTCTATTTAAACGATTCTTGTTTGTTTTAATTTCATTGAGATGTCTAAAGTTTTTATGTTAATAATTCTTGTTTATCTTAATTTCATTCAGATGTTTCATTTTTTTATTTTAACTAGATAATCTTGCATTTCCTTTTCTGTTTCCTTTTTTAATTGTCACACCTACTTATTGAACAGGTAATGAATAGTTCATCATTGAAGACATCGATGAAGACATCGATCATCGAGGGATGCGTGCGCTAGTTTTAAGTTAATTTTATGCGTGAGTTAGTTTTAAGTTAATTGTAATCGTGTGGGAAGGGTGGGTGGGTCCATGTAAGTGCCTCTCATTCCAACTTGCACTCATCTTCTCAATTCTCGAACTTTGTACGCGTTAGCTTGTAGTATACCCAGTTATTTTTTGTCAATCGTTCCGAACTCAAGTGGATCATTGGGGGTTCGTAGCGCTGTGAACACGCGGCAGGGGTGAGCTGCAAGTGCTGGTGTAGCGCCAGGGACACATCTCTGCGGGGCCGATCGATTGATGAACCATCTCGATCTGCCGCCTCACGGCAGGGGTTTCCTCTCTGTGGTAAGACTTGCCTCAAACGCAAGCGGCGGGGAAATGGGAAACCCTCCGCGGATGTGTCACTCGTTCTTGCCAGTATTTTCGGTTCATCTCGGTCGCGTGGTTCACGTAAGCCACTATGGACTACCCTTTGACCCATGGAAGGCGAGGTTCACTTGGCGAAAAATACTGAATCCCTTTTTTGGCAGAAAGTTCTTCTAACTTTCTTTGCTTTTAGTAGAAAGTTCTTCTAACTTTCTTCCCTTTGCTTTTTGAATTCGTCATAGATCATATGAGTGCAATCTTAGAATGAGAGGTACGCGTGCGGCGTTTAGAATAAGTTAAGCGTATGTGAGTGGGATTCAATTAGTATTATGTTAGTGTATGTATGTGTGTGTGATACAAGTTCTTTGCTGAATTGTGGTAAAGAACTTGTTTATGCGAGCCTATGAGCTAAGTAGAGTCAGAACTCATTTATCCTTCTGACAAATGAGGTATTGCAATTGGAGGGTGGTAGGGATTTGGAGTTAGGGTGGGTCACTCTCGTAGCAACCTCCACGTGGTGTGACCTGGTAATCGGTGTCGTTTTCTAAACATTTTTCTAAAAATGAACTTTAGAAAACGATATCGAGCTAATAGCTACGAATTAAATTATAATTTCATTTTGTTGAGAAAATGTTTGGATCAAGTAATATATTACAAGTTTCACACTTATCCAAATCTAGAAGATTTACGGATCTTATAATAATTTGGAATATATTTGTAATTAATTTTCTGTATATTACTAATATTGACTTTTCAGGTATTTTTATCAATTTTGCGGCGTGGGGATGTTGGAAAGGAAAAGAAAATAAAATAACTTATAGGAAAATGAAAAACTATATTTCACAAAAAATTACAGATGGATGTGTTACATAGATATGATAAAATATTTATTAGAAATAAATTACTGATAAATATGCAGGTTCAAATTATTCTTTTTCGACCGCCATAGTTTTACACTATGCACATGCACACCCCCGATCCTTTTGATTCGGGTATTTAAATTGGTTGTGCCTCTGTCTCCCTCTAGGAGGTAAGTTTCCTTGCCTAGTGTCACTTCTTGTTATACCTACTCTTTGGTAAAATTGCATTTAGTGATTTCCGGATATTTAGGGAAAGTTGGAGCAGATGGTACTCCTGGAAGCGTTCAACAATTTTGATGAGGCAATTGGTAAACCTGTTAAAATATTTTGATAGCTGGGAAGTCACGTACTTTCAAATAGAATGTGTCACAGTTTTTATAAGATAACGACAATATTTTATAGTTTGTGCAGGCTCCGACTTCAAACTATCTGCATTCGATGACGAAGGTTGTGACTTCATTTTTTATTATATAAGAATACAATTTGATATAACCATTGCCTACATGGTCACAGATGTTGCAATGATATTGATAAATCTTATATTGTGTAGTAGGATCAGTTGGGACAGTTTGGATCAGTAATTGTATTATAATTAATAACCATTTTAACAATGAAGGATCAGAAAAGTAAAGTAGAAAGGTCTACCGTTGCAAGAAGCACGTAAGTACAGTTTGTTAAAAGCTATATACTTCTTATTAATTCTATAAAATTTATTATGTTATTTTGATCTACTGCTTTTTCTGCTGTAGACATTGTACCAGTTATGGTGTGTGTGATCTGCTACCATTAGATGAATTTGAACCACCTATGCATATAAAAATGGCTATAAGGAATCATTCAGTAGAATATTCTACAAATAATCAATTACAAGGAAATTACATCAAGCTTATTAATAATTTTTTAAACATGAATAAAATAGGAGCTGAACATTATTTAATATTTTTTAAAATTTTATTGTATATGGAGGACCATGAAATTCAATTAATTGCGGCGGAACATAATTTAATAAATCAAGACATTAAGGAAATTTCCAATATTTTTGTATTCACAGTACCTACTTTAGATGAGACTGACCCATTTATTAGTATTGGTGATATGGTAAAATTACAAACAACATCATCAAAATATATATGTTGTGGTAAAATTGTAAATATTGAGGCAAAAGATATATATGTATCTGTGAGAGAGTAAGTATGCTTAAATTTATTTTTAACAGTGAAAAGATGAAATACGAATTATTTTAGACATGTAACTAATAATAATTATTTTTGAAAATCCAGATACTGCAGTAAAAAGCTTTTAGGTGACACGGTCAATGTTTATTTCTTTCCTGCAAATTGGCCAATAAAGTGTTTCCATTATGTCTTGCACCATATATGTAAACATAACTTGACTAATTTATTATTTCCTAAAGTAAATACAATTTTTCACACTTCATACACGCAGTAAGTTTCATAATAATAAATTGTTTTTAATGTTTGTATTGTATTTCTTTTTATTTAGTTTTTATAATTGTGTTGTAGAAAGATAGATTGGGTAAATCAGTCTGTAGCAAATAATCCAGAACAAAAAATGGCAGTAATGAACATTTTGAATAATTCAGCATATCCTGCACCATTCATATTATTTGGCCCTCCTGGTACTGGAAAAACAGCAACATTAGTTGAAGCCATTTGTCAGGTATAATTTATATAACAAAATTCATGAAATAAGAATATATGTTTAATATTTTTTCTTAAAATTAAGATTAGGAAACAGTACAAGACCAAAAATATTTTGGTATGTACATCTTCTAATGCAGCTGCAGATGAAATTACAAAAAGATTATTAACTGTACTTCCTTGTAAAGATGTCTTTCGAATGTATGCCCCATCTAAACCTTGGTAAGATATTTATTTTTACAAATAATTATTAATTTATTACTTACTTGTTTTTTCATATTTAGGACAAGTTTAGATAAAAATATTGATCCTGCATCAAATTTTATTGACAACTCGGTGCTTTTTCTACCGAAAGAAATTTTTATTTTAAAAAAGATTGTTATTACAACATTAGTGAATTGTATAAGGTATATCTTTGACTTATTACAATCGTTTTTATAATAATTACTATAATAATAATTATAATTTGTTAAATATAGATTGGTAGCACTCAATTTACAAAAAGATCATTTTTCGTATATATTCATTGACGAAGCTAGCCAATGTATAGAATTAGAATCATTGATTCCATTTACACTTGCAAGTTCAGAAAATAAAATAGGCAAAGGAATATTACATGCTCAAATTATTATTGCTGGCGATCCTTATCAGCTAGGACCTGTAGTTCGATGTAAAAAAATTGAGCATTTGCTTGGTGAATATAATTCTAGATTTGATCTTGTACAAATATTTTTACCTGCTTGTATAAAATTTAAATAATTTGTAGGAAAATCAATAATAGAAAGATTAATGGAATGTGAACCATATCAAAAAGTAAATAATAAATACAATTCACGTTACATAATAAAATTAATTCGCAATTATCGTAGTAGAGAAGCTATTTTACGTGTACCAAATGAATTATTTTACGATAATGAATTGTTATGTAATATTAAAAATGATACAAATAAGATAACATTAAATTGGAAAGAATTAGCATATAAAACGTTTCCTATTATTTTTTTTGCAATTAATGGTGAAGAAATGAGAACGGAAAATGGAAGGTAATACATTTTTCTTATTGAAATTGCTATTAAAATAAAATAATTTCTTATGAATGATATAACAAAATATATTCTTTTTTTAGCGTTTATAACAAACAAGAAGTTAAAGCTATAATTAATTATACAAGAAAACTAGTATACGCCAAAATTGGTGTCCGCAAAATTGAACCAAAAGATATTGGCATTATAACGCCATTCAGGCAACAAAAATTTATGATCGAACAGAATTTGAAAAGATACAAATTAACCGATATAACTGTTGGAACTGTAGAAACATTTCAAGGGCAAGAAAGAGAAGTTATACTTTTAACTACAGTACGATCGAAAGTCTTTCAAAATAACGGCAAACAACATATTGGCTTCCTGTCTAATCCAAAAGTATAATTTTTTATATTATTCAATTTAACTTAATTTATTTACTTATTTATTTTATTTCTTTATTCTTTCAGAGGTTTAATGTTGCACTGACAAGAGCAAAAAGTCTTTTAATAATAATAGGAAATCCAGCTACACTATGTAAAGATAAGAATTGGAATGTTTTATGGCAATATTGTAAAAAGAATAATGCATGTAGCATTATTGAAGTAATACCTTAGTTAAATTTAAAAATACCTTTTGTATAGTAAGTCAAATATTGGTAACAAATTCCAAGATATCATTTTTACATTTTGCAACTTCGCTTATGTTTGTTTAAATAATTTACAGAAAAAGAATTTTTATTGGTGTATATGCACATGTAATTATAAATTATAAAATTGTCATATATATTGTATAAATCTTGTATATTTATATATTTATTGAAATGTATTTTATATACAAAAACATAATGTACTATCTTTTAATGAAAAGAATAGTACATAATATATTATATTTTCTGATCTATTTAAAACTTTATAATGTTATGAAAATCTTGTTGACTGTTTCTTTGATGAAATAAATACATGAAGTAAAACAAAACTTATAGATAAATTTTTACTTCTTTTAAATTCTATTGGTTAAAAATATTATAACTTCAACTTTGGAACTTTATAAATAATTTTAATGCTAAAATTTGTAAGGTACAACTTTATTCTAAAAGTAATTTTGCTGTGCTTCCACTAATATCCTTATTAATACCATGACGTATCGCAAATTCATGTTTTACACTTGCAAACAGAATATCTGTTAATAAGAAGATTTGTGCAATAGCAAATGCTAATGTTACGCCAAAATAAAAGTTTGCATTGGCTGATCTGGAATAGATCCATTGGTACCAAACTGTGGGAGCAAAAACTGTACAGAACAACATAAAACAGCCTACGATGAATCCTTGTTGTGTATCTATAAAATAATATAAAGTTTTAATATTCTTATTCAATAAAAGAGAAGTAATTAATATATTTACGATAAAAATATACTTACACTGGAATAAATGTTTCCACAGTGGCAAAAGGGACATATAAAACCCAACATCCCCTATACAAGGATAAGATTTAAATATGGCAGCAATTGCTAAATAAGAAAATGCTAATAACATTGGGTCATGTCGCAACCTTAATGCCAATGGTACTATGTACAGTAAGCTGACATTTATTTGAAAAGAAGCAATAAAGAGCCATTTAAAGTGCTCAAACATTTCTGTAAAGAAGTACCAATAAAGTCCTATATTTGGACGCAAATCGGGGACTGTTAAAATAAAACCCAATGTGTTCCAAATAAATGACCAGCTTCCCATGATATAATAAGAAATACAAAATAGAGCTGCTAACATGCTCACAAACATCATAATAAAAATTACAATATTCATTTTTTGCTTTATGTTGTTAGAACGAACAATATAAATAATTGCTGGTACTAAGAGTGAAATAGGATAGAGTCCTTGTAATGTTAATAATGAAATTGATAAACAGCTCCAAAACATGGAACATCTTATCATTGAGATCAATGCTATGGAATATAACAAGTTTGTGAATACTGTTGTTGTATGCCCAACACAATTTAGTATTACATATGGATTAAACAAATATCCTGCTGAGACATACATCATGGAAGTATACACCATAGAGGTATCATCTTCATTTTTCATATTCTCCTTACTTGATTTTTCCTCATGTTTTTTAGAGGCCTGCAATAAATGTCATTTTTAATAAAAAGAGAACCACTCTGTATAACATCTGTTAGAAAATGTATAGACTTACCAATTCAATTGCATACTGTTTTGCAGTAAGTCCAAGAAATAAAGCTGTGAATAAATCTGTAGAGATAAATAAGCAAAATAAAATCCAACGTGGTAAATATTGCTGTATAAGATTGAAAATGTATAGTCCAATGGGAGTTTCATGAAATAAATCTCCCTGATAAGGGTCGATACCACAATTATATAAATATACTCCTTCAGTCACTGAAAAAACATGTCTTTTATAATACAATTGCTATTAACATGTTACAAAAATTACAAAATATTACACTATATATTAAGTTTATATCACTTTTACGTAAAGTTTAAATAATACATTGACAAATATTCTAACCTCTTTTCCAAGAGTTCAATGCAGTAGAAACTTCCACGCGATTACTAATAATTTTTTGAAACTCAGAATTCATCAACAGGAATCTAATAGTTCCTGCTAATATAAAATTTGATAACCATTGTTTCACCATTTTTTAAATAAATTATTATTCATTCACATATATTCGTTGTGTAGTGTTTACGGAAATGTAACCGGTACTTAAACAAACATTTTATACATTTGCTTCACTTTGGTAACAGAATATCTTCACAGCTAATTTCTTTTTCTCTAATGTTATTGTATAAAAATTAAATCATACATCTTATTTTCAGAAAATCAAACCATATCACACAATTTCAACCATTCTGCTCCGATAAGAGAACATATTCATCCATACGACATTGACTTAGTCAATGCATACAAGTTTTCATTTGTTCCGCACTGCTCCGCGTACGGTAGTTCTAACGACTGACTGTTTTGAGCACGTTTGCAACGAAGAGTAACACGCATGAGCATTTACTCGACGTTGGTTGAATGTGCATGCCTTTAAATTTCCAACTTTGCGACAAACACGATAACAATATGTATTATTTTACATTTTTTACTAGAAAAGAGCAAAAAATGTGGAACGCTTCACGATTTTGCGTGTCATCCTTGCGCAGGGGCCATGCTAATCTTCTCTGTATCGTTCCAATTTTAGTATATGTACTGCCGAAGCAAGTACAACAAACAATTTTCGCTTGTCGTATATATGGAAACGTAAGCTTCATCGAGAACTAGCGAGAAAACTTATATTTTACAAACCACCTAGCGGTACAACTATGAAGTAATCACTGAAATGTAGTGTAGAAAAAGAAGAGGTTCCATGTTTGTTACAAACTATCTTCTTGTAGAAATTATAAGTTCAATATTATAATTTTATGATCTGAATTACAAAATATTATATCTGAAATACAAATATTATACTTATTGTACGACCTACAGGTAAATATAAATATATATAACAATAAACATCGTAAAAAATGTTTTAGGTTAATTGTATGTTCATTGATTAGGTTTTAGTTAAAATTAATTAATTTTTAAAATCAGAAATAATTTTCTGCAAATGTTATTCAGTTTCAGTAATGAAGCGGTTAACAGGTTGGCGATATGGATTATTTATAGGAACTTTTCTAACAGCAGTAGCAGTTAATGGTTATTTCGTAATACTAAGTCCTCTAATGAATCCAGAACCATACAGTATGTAAAATTGTTTATATGTGAACAACAATGATTTTAAATATTATATATAGGCTTACGAAGTTAACAAACTATTTTAATTGCAAATCAAAATGTAAAAGTATTTATTTTTATGTAATAATATTAATTTTAGAATTAATACGAGAACAAGTAAAACCTCGCTTGCCAAACCAAGGAAATTGAATTTCAAAATGTAAATATTTGACAAGGGATAATAGTCTTATTAGTACAGTAAGTTAGAGAAAAGCATTTGTTGTATAAAATTAATTTTTATTTTATGTATTATAATTACGTATAAATGTTACTAAAACTTTTGTGCATAAAAACTAGATTAAACAATATTCAATATATTATGTTATAAAGTTAATAAACATAATGACTTGTAGCTCTTTTTACAATTATTAATATAATTACATTATTATACAGACATCTGCTGTAAGAAGTTTCATACTTAAGGTGACTAGAAACTCCCACAGACATAGAATCTTATAAATATACTGTTATAGTACATTTTAAAAATCGTCATGATCACAAACATCTAGGAAGACATCAAATGCCTCACGGTTGCAGTTTCCATCAGCAGTGAAAACATATTTATGAAATGTTCCATCCATACAGATGGCTGTAAAATATGTAAAATAAAAAATTAAAATAAATGAAATATTTATGCCATGTTCCTATAATGTGGAGTACATTTATAATATAATAAATACCTATAACAGAACTCCTTGTACCAAATGCACACACACAAGCACATTCTGGTGGTACTGTAAAAGTAGCCAAAGCCCACTGACTTTCAACATAATTTCCCAGAAACCTCATTTTTGAAAAACTATAATTAAATTAATGATAAATTTTGATCAATGTGTTTTGTATAATGAGTCAAAATTTTAACTATATGTACATACGTAGATCTACGATTTAGTTGTGTGTCTTTTAATGCAAATATATGTACTGTTCCTTTGTCACTGGAAACGCATAAAAATTCCGAATCTCTGCTGAAGGTAATACTGAAACATTCATAATATAAAATTATCAAAAATGAAATGCAGTTTTGTAGAAGTTATTAGTATTTAATAATCAAAACTTCATATTTACCAATAAAGCGTTGCAGGATCAGCACCTCTTCTCAATTCTACTATCAAGTGTTTGCGTATACTGTCCCATACTCTAACTAAAGTACCTTGTGTTGAAGCAGTTGCAATCATAGTCCCACTACTGTTAACTGCCAGACATGCCAATGCACCCTAACAGTATTGTTTGTAAATATAAAATGCTAAGAGAAAACATGCTAATGAACACAGAAATAGCAGATTCATTTAACAATCTTTACATAAAATACACATACCTGATGTGCTACAAGAGTTGCAGGAGCACTAGAACTTCCAGCTTCTGTAGCACCAAGATCAAGTAATTGTACACTACCCTGTTTGTGACCAGGGAAAGCAAGAAGCTGTTTTTGTGCAGTGGCCAAGGTAGCAACTTCAATTAAACCTTTTGGATTATCTCTTGTCTCTAAAGTTAATAATCTTCGTGTTGGCATAGGAAATGAGAACACATGTATTTCACGTTGAAGTGCTACTATCATCCTATTTTATGTAATTTATGCATAAGTAAGTAAATGTATCATAAGTATCAATTAAAAGTAAGAATTGTTTCTGTTCATAAACTTACTTGTCTCTACGTAATCTAACAGCTTTAATAGGGCTACTAAACGTAATTTCCATCACAAACTTTTTAGATAAATCATCATATATAAGTACTGTGTTTTCTGCAAACTTTGGTCTCATACCACCTCCTACTATAGCAATAATATTTGTTCTCCAAAGCATTTCTGCAATGGCTATACTTCCCATTAAATCATTTTCTAAATGTGCTTTTTCAACTAGTGGTTCTACATTATATACTCTAAGACCAGATTCCATACAACATGTAAAGCATCCTGAAACAGCACAAATCAAATTAATTTAATTGATAAATAATAAGAGAAAATGTAATTAAAGTTAATAATTCAATTTCATTGATTTTTTTCAGTTTTCATATAAGTTTATTATTAACCATTTTACAATAACATTTTAAAAATTTTTATTTATTTTTTTTATCTTGCTGTAATTTAGAAGAAACGCATGAGAAATGTTATGTGTTAAGCAATAATTACCTTGATCTTGATTAAATCGTAGACTAAGAATACTTTTTTCCCCAGCCATTTGGTATTGCTCCAAATTAAATAAATTTTTGTTGAATTGATGTATAATCAGTTTTAACAACTATGGTACGTGTTTTTGTTTACATCATAACACAATTACTTATGACTTGTGACATGCTTGAAATAGTGCTTTATTCTTCACGAGATGTCATGTATATATTTACATATATATTTTCTTCTACTCGGCCAACTTCAATATGTTCTATCTTACTTATTTAACCAATGAAGTATATAAAGTAAATACATATATGCAGATCAGTGATGTATATTCAGTGATTTTTTATTTGGTATGTGCTCATGTATTATCACTTCTTCCCTTTATTCATATTATTTTGTTCACCATATGTATAACCATAAAATGAAACGGAACAGTAGATCAGTATCATACTGCCACACTAGTGATCAAAAGTCCTCTGAACATAGCCGAAATGCAAGAAATGATACCAATTTCTAGTGAAATAATTATGCAATGTATTTTACAAGAAATACATTTATTAAAGTTTTAATGATATAATTCAAAATAATTATTTATTTAGTAGACAATCAGAATGACAGCAAAAAATTGTATCAAAAAAATATACAAAGTTTTTACCAAAATAAAATAAAATTACTAGTATAGTAATTGGTAACTTTACTCTTTCATCGTTGGTTCCTCCGATAGCACTAATATCCTGCATTGCAGGTTCCATAGTGTGTAGGGGCCTGTGTCCATAAAGTTCTGTCAAAAAATGTCAGCAATGGTAAGTTCTCTAAGAAAAATAACTTATTGTTTTATTTTATCCTTTATCTTGCATATTCTGTGTAATAAGTATGTTGAAAAATATAAGTCAAACGATTTGAAGATAATATATACCCCCTCCTTATTTTAAATTTCATCAATACTTCAGGCAGTGAATGTTATATACTTTTCATGAATGATAACCAATTGTTAAATAACAATAAGTTTATTGTTTCACAGAGGATGAAAGCAGTAAGGTGTCCTACTGATGAACTTAGCATTTCAAATTGTGCTATTATTAATCCAGATGACTTTCCAGATGATGTGAGGTAAAGATGTCACCTTGTGATTAATTCATTGATTTGGCATCTATAATAGGATCTAAAGATTAAGTGTTATATATATATATATATATATATATCATGCAAGGCTTTTTAAAACTTTTAACCGATTAAAATTAAGTTTTAATCCTATCTTTGCTTTTTTATTTATAATAATTTTTTTGTTATATTAAACATATACAACCAAACCATATTATGCACTTTTAAGCCTAATTTCATCATTTTAAATTTAATCATTAAAATTTTATTGTCATCCCATAACATGTATTGCTATTGAAAGGTAATGATCCTAATCTTCTGGTATAGATTCTCAATAATATCATTATTTTGAGATATTGAAGAATGGCCATTTCTTTCAAATTGTTCACATTATATGCAGTATTTTAAATTTTTGAAAAGGTTTTGAAACCTTTAATTGGAATATAATTAAATACAAGAACAAATTTTATTAAATTATGCAAAAACTAAGTAAAAATCAAATTCCTATATATTAACATATGATAGAAAATCTGAATTAAATATGATAAAGCAATATTAAAGAAATTATATTTTCTTTTTAGGCATATTGAAGTCACTACTGCACCTAATCATCATTTTGTATTTACTGTAAAAAGACATCATGAAGTTCCAAGAGGAACTGTGGGTTTTAGTTTACCTCAGAGAAAGTGGGCTACCCTTTCTCTTAATCAAGAGATTGAAGTTCGACCTTATCATTTCAATCCTACTTCAAGTACAGAGTGTTTATGCACTATTGTATTGGAAGCTGATTTCTTACAAAAGAAATCGTATGTAGATAATATTTATTTATTTAACCATATCTATGAGAAATTTTTAAAACATTAGAAGAGAAAGCTTTTTTACTCATTTATGATATAATCTATTTTAGAACTACTTTGGAACCATATAATACAGATGAAATGGCTAAAGATTTCCTGTTACAATTTTCGGGGCAGGCATTCACCGTTGGTCAGCAGTTGGTCTTTCAGTTCAAAGATAAAAAAATGCTTGGTCTTGTAGTGAAAAGCTTGGAAGCTGCTGATCTTTCTGCTATAAGTTCTGGACAAAATACAGTACCCAAAAAAACTCAAATGGGACGTTGTTTGGGTGATACTGTTATACAATTTGAAAAAGCAGAGAACTCGAGTTTGAATCTTGTTGGTAAAGCAAAGGGAAAGGTCGTTCGGCAATCAATTATAAATCCAGATTGGGACTTCCAAAAAATGGGAATTGGTGGATTAGATAAAGAATTCAGTGCAATCTTTCGAAGAGCATTTGCATCAAGAGTTTTCCCACCAGAAATTGTTACTCAATTAGGTTGTAAGCATGTGAAAGGAATTTTACTTTATGGTCCACCAGGTACTGGTAAAACGTTAATGGCACGACAGATAGGAACTATGTTGAATGCTAGAGAACCTAAAATCGTCAATGGCCCTCAGATTTTGGATAAATATGTTGGTGAAAGTGAAGCCAATATTAGAAGGTTATTTGCTGATGCTGAAGACGAAGAAAAAAGGGTATAATATAATTAACTCTGGCTTAATTCATTTTATAGATATAACATTAATTCAGTGTGATAATTCAATTTTCAGCTTGGGCCAAACAGCGGATTGCATATAATTATTTTTGACGAAATCGATGCTATTTGTAAATCTCGAGGTAGTGTCGCAGGCAATACCGGGGTGCATGATACGGTTGTTAATCAATTACTTGCAAAAATTGATGGTGTAGAACAGTTAAATAACATTCTTGTAATTGGTATGACTAACAGGAGAGATATGATTGATGAAGCTTTGTTACGACCTGGTAGATTAGAGGTACTTTTTTAATGGTACAACACTGAACATTTGACTATTTTTACCTAAAACTTTTATGCATTTATAGGTGCAAATGGAAATCAGTTTACCAGATGAACATGGTAGATTCCAAATCCTCAATATTCATACTTCCAGAATGAGGGATTACAAGAAAATATCACCAGATGTTGATTTAAAAGAATTAGCTACTCTAACTAAAAACTTTAGTGGTGCAGAATTAGAAGGTTTAGTTAGAGCTGCTCAAAGTACTGCAATGAACAGATTAATTAAAGCCTCTAGTAAAGTAGAAGTAGATCCTGCTGCAATGGAAAAACTTATGGTTTCTAGAACTGATTTTCTTCATGCCTTGGAAAATGATGTTAAACCTGTAAGGAATTTTAAACAAGATTTATATCTTACTAATGAACTATTACAATAATTACATTTTAACGATTTTATAATTAAATATCTATTTTAGGCATTTGGAACGAGTGCAGAAGCTTTGGATCAGCTTCTTATACGTGGAATCATCAATTGGGGAAAACCTGTGGCAGAAATTTTGTCCGATGGCAATTTGTACATTCAAGAGGCTCGTTCTACCGAAGGTTCTGGCCTTGTATCAGTTCTCTTAGAAGGACCACCAAATAGCGGAAAGACAGCTCTTGCTGCTCAAATAGCTAAAAATTCCGATTTTCCATTTGTCAAAGTATGTACACCAGAAGATATGGTTGGTTTCACAGAATCTGCAAAATGTCTATCAATCCGAAAGGTAATATATTATTTTAAATATAAAATTTCTTCTCAACGAGATTAAACATGTTCAGTTTACTTTTCTTTTCAGATATTCGACGATGCATATCGTTCGCAACTTAGCTGCATTTTAGTTGATAATATTGAGCGTTTGCTGGATTATGGTCCTATAGGACCAAGGTATTCCAACTTGACTTTGCAAGCGCTTTTAGTTTTATTGAAGAAACAACCTCCTCGTGGTCGCAAATTATTAATACTTTGTACTACCAGCCGCAGGTAATATTTATGACTTCAACATGATGATCGTTTAAAATTGAAGTAATTAAAATTGCAATTAGTATGTCTAATATATATTTTCTATAGGCAAGTTTTGGATGATATGGAAATGTTATCAGCATTCAGTACAACTCTTCATGTACCTAATTTGTCAACCCCTGATCATTTATTGAGTGTTTTAGAAGAAGTAGATCTTTTCACTAAAGAAGAAACAGCATCTTTGCATGCCAAACTTCAAGGAAAACGGTATATTTTTGGTTTAACTTTGAAAATATTTTTATGTAAATATATAAGTATTTAATACATAATCTGCGCATTTTTGTTACAGAGTATTTATTGGAATAAAGAAATTGTTGGGTCTAATAGATATGGCACGACAAGTAGAACCAAGTTACAGAGTTCCAAAATTCCTTTCAAAGCTAGAGGAAGAGGGCGGATTAGAATAATAAGTATTTAAAAGAGTAATTATTTATGTAGAAATGAAGTAGATGTCATTTACTAAACAATAACATATAGTACACGAGTAATAAACTGATTTGCATATTAAATATAAATCAGTTTAAGAAAATGAAATAGAATTGTTGCTGTAAACTGCTACATGTATAATGTCATACAAAAACATAAGCGAAGCATTTAAATTATTTACAAATATTATATTTAGATTTTCTGAAAATTGCATTTCTAGTTGTTTTTTTGATAACTTCACCGTGTATACAGTATTTATTATTGTTTTGATTATACGATACCCTGTTATGTAGTTTTAGGTGATAATTTGTTATACATTTGAAATGTTGGAAAGAATTTTATAAGTTCAAGAGAAATTATATGAAAAATGTACAAACAAAATGTAAAAAAGCAATTATAATAGTCAGAAAAGTTTAAATTTCTGTTAGATGGTAATAACAGTAAATATTTATAATATATTTTTACATAAACTAGAAATTATTTGTTTTGCTATGAGAGCTTTGCAAACATAACTTATACAGAGTAATCATCTTGCTGGGAGACACAAATCAAGTCTACTAAAAGTATTATTCGACTACTCTTTTCTTTTTTAATCTAAGCTTTAGAATACCTCGAACACAAAATATAGTCGACTCTGTTACGATAGTGATTATTAACACAGGACAATTTCAGCCTTCTATGACATGCGCTTTTCTTGTGTCTTCTAGTAAAAGAATTACACTGTATATATTTAAAGCAATACTATACAGAAAATTGATGACATATATTATTATATCTACATAAAAGTTAAATTATTTCTACATTTCTATAAAAATTGCTTCCTTTAATTTTAATTTACTATTGTATTCTACAGTAAAATAAGTTTATTCCATACTGATAACGCAGTCTTTCAACTGGTTTCGTAATTACAAATACTTAGTTATTACTAAAATTTATATTATTATATATAGTATATACATGCATCTTTATGCCTCTATTTGTATGTAGTATACATCTATGTAACTGTTTACTGTGTGTCTAATACTATTTGAAAATTTTATTGCAATCTCGTTGTAAATGTATATATGTATTTCGGTTGTTTAACGTTTTAGTGACAATATCAGCAATACCTGCTATAGGTATTTTTGAAGAATCTTATTGTAAAACCATTCCAAAATTTAATACATAATCTGCGCATTTTTGTTACAGAGTATTTATTGGAATAAAGAAATTGTTGGGTCTAATAGATATGGCACGACAAGTAGAACCAAGTTACAGAGTTCCAAAATTCCTTTCAAAGCTAGAGGAAGAGGGCGGATTAGAATAATAAGTATTTAAAAGAGTAATTATTTATGTAGAAATGAAGTAGATGTCATTTACTAAACAATAACATATAGTACACGAGTAATAAACTGATTTGCATATTAAATATAAATCAGTTTAAGAAAATGAAATAGAATTGTTGCTGTAAACTGCTACATGTATAATGTCATACAAAAACATAAGCGAAGCATTTAAATTATTTACAAATATTATATTTAGATTTTCTGAAAATTGCATTTCTAGTTGTTTTTTTGATAACTTCACCGTGTATACAGTATTTATTATTGTTTTGATTATACGATACCCTGTTATGTAGTTTTAGGTGATAATTTGTTATACATTTGAAATGTTGGAAAGAATTTTATAAGTTCAAGAGAAATTATATGAAAAATGTACAAACAAAATGTAAAAAAGCAATTATAATAGTCAGAAAAGTTTAAATTTCTGTTAGATGGTAATAACAGTAAATATTTATAATATATTTTTACATAAACTAGAAATTATTTGTTTTGCTATGAGAGCTTTGCAAACATAACTTATACAGAGTAATCATCTTGCTGGGAGACACAAATCAAGTCTACTAAAAGTATTATTCGACTACTCTTTTCTTTTTTAATCTAAGCTTTAGAATACCTCGAACACAAAATATAGTCGACTCTGTTACGATAGTGATTATTAACACAGGACAATTTCAGCCTTCTATGACATGCGCTTTTCTTGTGTCTTCTAGTAAAAGAATTACACTGTATATATTTAAAGCAATACTATACAGAAAATTGATGACATATATTATTATATCTACATAAAAGTTAAATTATTTCTACATTTCTATAAAAATTGCTTCCTTTAATTTTAATTTACTATTGTATTCTACAGTAAAATAAGTTTATTCCATACTGATAACGCAGTCTTTCAACTGGTTTCGTAATTACAAATACTTAGTTATTACTAAAATTTATATTATTATATATAGTATATACATGCATCTTTATGCCTCTATTTGTATGTAGTATACATCTATGTAACTGTTTACTGTGTGTCTAATACTATTTGAAAATTTTATTGCAATCTCGTTGTAAATGTATATATGTATTTCGGTTGTTTAACGTTTTAGTGACAATATCAGCAATACCTGCTATAGGTATTTTTGAAGAATCTTATTGTAAAACCATTCCAAACACATAATACATACATATGTTTATTTTATCGTTAATGCTTTGTTAAAAATGTATAAAAATACATTTTGCTTACCTTCGACTAACTAAAAATAAATGAAAATTATCTTAATTTTGAATAAATGTATAAACAAGTATATTTTTTTAATTTGGTAATTCAAATATTTTATTTTATGGCAGTTGGTATATGTACTATTAAACAAATATATTTGCTTTATTGTATATACATAAAATTAAACTCTCTACAAAAAAAGTTGTATATCACATTAAATTTATTGTTATGCGAGATAAATACCGTAATATGAATATCTCTGTGTTTATGAAAAATATGTATGTATTGATATGCTAACTAATAAACTTAAAAACACGTGTAATGCGTGTTAACATTAAATGAAACATAGAACAATTATTTCCTACAATGCTTAAATCCAAACATACTGTTTGTTAAAAGTAATAGAATATATAAGTTATTTACAATACAAATGGAAAATCCATTGGAAAAACGGGCCAGTGTTTGTTTAAAATTATTACATTATTACAGTACTATTTACTTTTTATAATTTTTACATGAACATAGTTATATTACATTTTCAAATTACAATTCACACTTATTTATGGCGTATAATCTTGTTTCCTATATAAAATAATAACTTTCAAACATTAAGTAAAAAATATACAGTATTTTGCAATCATAAATTTTGACTTTTCCAAAAACAATGTTCCATCCCTATGTGCGTTTACTAATTTATATTTAGGGTCACACTAAAAATATGATTAATGAGTTTTACTTAACTATAATTACTGATTAAGACTGTGCTCTGTATTCCTTGTTTAACTCCGATTATTTTTCTGATGATAATAACAATTCTATTAATTTAGGTAATTAATAATAATAAAACCCATTAATTTACTTTCCGAAATAAAATATTAATACATAAACAAATCCAAGAAATTAGTTTATCACATTTAGTATTCTATCTAATTTTTTCAACTAAAGCTGAGTTTTATTTTTATAACATTCCTTTTTACTGCTGTATAGACATTAAATTTACAATTTAAGTAACACAAAGTAATTAAATATTAATTTTATAATTAGAAATATGTGCAGGAGAAAGATATTAAGAAACATAATACATTATTGATATATAAAAATAATGCACATATTTTTATTGTATATGTGTTCTTTGTTTTAAATCCGTTATAAGTTTTGTCAAATTTTGCATGTTTCTAAATTTGAAAAGTACAAATGAGAACATTAACAAAGTAGTATAAAAATTTTGTTCTTATTTTTCATCAATGTACTTCTATTTCATTATAAAATTATTACACATGTTTTATTTAACATTTCATATGCGTTTACAATGTAACATATGTAATAAATTTTACAGTAAAAAGATTGTATGTAAATAAACAAGATTTAGATCATTTCATAAGCCTCATATAAATAATTACTTTCTTTAACATTATCCATTTCCATCTTCATTCATATAATTAAGAGCAGCTGTCATTCCCTACTTGTTTTCAGTTGATATTAAGATAAAAATAACATATGTATAATATGTACAATCAGAAAGAGTTTGACTATTTCTTATAATCCTTTAGTACTTGGCAGTATTTAGGCACCGCAATTTTTCCAAAAAAAATTGATACTTATACTCTTTATAATTAAATGTTACGTAATATTTATATTATAACATTTCATTACGATTCTTTTATTTCAGTAAAAATGATGTAATCAAAATGAAAATATTTAAAATCATGTTTATATGATAAAAAGCATGTTTCTTGCTCGTATCATAACAAATCTTTTGTTATTTCTTTAACCGTTAATAACATTTTTATTTGAAATTATTTTACTGTTGAAGCGTATTTTGCATATAATACATATTTTCTCCAAAGAAATTTATCAAATGTATATTTTTTTACAGATTGAATTTACAATTTACGTGATTATATACAAAGGCTTTAACTAATACACGTCAAATTTATCGCTCAACATTGACATCATTTTATATAATATTAACACGTTCCGTGCCATGTGTACCATCGGTGGTATACGCTTCATATTTATTTAATGCGCTGAAAACATAAATTTTATGATAAGTATAACTCTGTAAAATATACTTCAACCAAAAAAATGATGCATTATACAAAATTCAGTATAGAACATAAGAAAAAGAAAATTACATATGTATTAATGATGTAATGAAATATTGTGTGATAATATATCAATCTTTAATTAAAATATCAAATGGCCTGAACGACAATCAGGCAAAAACGGCTTTGCACGGAATATGTTAGGTATGAAACCAAACCTAACCCAACCTAACCCAAAGATCCAGACCTAACCTAATCCAACCTAACCGGTTAGGTCTTCAATCTTTATTCAAAATATCAAATGGCCTGAACGACAAGTCAGGCAGAAATGGCTTGGCACGGAACGTATTAAAACACAATTTTGAAATACTTAAGAGATTTAAAAGCAGATATAAATTAACAATATCATGTTTAGATTTAATAGTATTCAAGTACGCTTCAATAATATCTAAGTATGCATGTAAAACAATCATTTATATCCTTGCATCATAAGAGAATTAATATCTGTTATATATTAAGTCATGTTACAAGTATTGCATTAAGTGTTTATAAGTCATTTCGCAATGATAATATTATAATATACATAGAGTCTACAAACACAGATCATATTTTCTAAATAACAATTATATATAAAATATTTTTAACATGTACATATATTGGAGGAAAATTTTCAATATCAATTAAAAATGGTATTTGTGACACGCATTTGGTATTCACCAGCACCAAGCATTATTTGTTACAACCAAATAATCTGTTTTATCCTCCATTATAACATTGACTGTTGAATCTGCATGTTACAAATAGTTTGTTAACATAATACATAAACGAGTTCATTAATTAAAAGTTCTCGTTTTTAATGAAAAATAAAAGATAGTTCAAATGCTTGTATTTAATAACATTTGAACTAATAAAAGTACTATGCACATTAAATTTAAAATAATATATTTTGCAATGTACTGGTAGTACGAGTTTAATTAAAGTGTCAAATCAATTTATGATTGATATTAAAAATCAATTTAAAACATTTTTATAGAGGTTTTTAAATTGATTTTTTTATCATTTAGGTCAACAAAAAAAGGAAAAAATTAAACAAAAAAAAAATGTTGTTAACAACACATATTAGTAATTGTAACTGCATTATGGCACATGAAAGAAAATTACTTTATTTGGGCGTCGAGTTGTTAACTTCGTAATTAACAGAGCATGATGAATTATCTACTATGACTATTTAATATTAATATCACAAATGTTGACATTTAATGTTTTCGAATTAGTTTAAATTTTATATTCAATTCAAGCTGCAGCTAGGTATTTATCCTAGCGCTTCAGCACTTATTAAATTTTCAGTCATCTCCATTGAAGAGAAACTTTGCATCCGACATAGTCAGGAAAATATGTAATAAAAAAATAAGCATAACAACGTATCAAATCACGATGGCTTACAAGATGGAAATTTCTTAACATTAATACAAGAAATTGGTTTACGCCATCTTCGTTTACTTTGATGTGGATTTGGTTTGTTGTGACTATTCCATGTAGCTTTTTGGTCTTCACTGATTCTATCCATTTCTTGAAGCCTTTTTTCTTCTGAATAAAAAGAAGAATTTCATTACTATTTGCTTGTATACCTTTATTACAAGGGTTAATTCATTTTTAGCTTTTTAATATGATCGAAATGTTAACTGTGCTTAATTGTGCGATATACAAAATAAATAATTTTTTACAATAATTGTCATATTACTACATATGATATAAAATATACAACATTGCAAAAGTTAATACATAGGATTAATGTTCATGTTAAAAAGAGCGTTTCTGCTCAAAAATATTGATCTAATATTTAATTTATATACAGTTTTACATATTACAAAATACATATGGGCAAAGCAGGGTATACACTATATAGAGAGTACCCGTTTATGTCAGCTCACAACATCATAGGTAGATATAAACATGTCATTGTTACAGAATGGTGCATGTCTTTGATAAGAATACTAGTAGACGATTTGAAAAAGATTGTTCAGTATTCCGTTTAGAATCTGAAAAGCAAAAGCTATATTTTACTGAAGCGTACGTATTTTTTATTTCAGTATAATTGAAATTTGCACAAATGTATTTCTCCTTTAGTTATATTTCTCTTTTGCAATGAATATTATGAAATTAGTTCTCAAAAAACTTCTTTTAACTGAAGAAAATAAATGAAATAATGCAACATACATTCCAGTTCATAGATACATGCAAGTATTACATTCATTTTGTTAAAACACAATCACAGAATATTTCTACTAAATCTTTATTGCACAAATGCCAATCAGTCGTAAATTAACTTTCGGTTGTCATACTTTTTTTCAGTTGCATGATTGTTACACTGCACTTTTTACACCAAAAATTATAGCAGATGATGTGATTAGATTATACTTAAAAAATATTTGCCACCAAAGTTGATGACTGGATCTACTGAATGTAGCATGATAGCTGAGAGTTAATTTGTATTAAATTTCTATATTTCTTTTTTTATCAGTCTTGCTGTACATGCAGGTTTCAATATATATCTTACCTTTGTTAGTTAAAAATATATTAACTGATATTAAATACTATAATAAATTAAGAGCTTAACTTTAAATACATAAATATAAGAACATGGTGCATGGTGCGAAATTCAAATATATAAAATGCTTACCATTCAACTGATGCTCAGTATAATATGTTGGATTGTCGTCACCTCCATAATGATATTCCATCAGGTACGGTAATACAGTCATACTGTGCCATTTGTGTCCTTTAAGAGGAGGTATAGGCACTTCTTCTTGTGTTCTAGGATGCCTGCATATAGTCCATGGATGCTTTCTAACTTCTTGTAAACTAAATCTTTTATCTGCATCTTTTTGTAACATTCCTTGTATAAGAGATTTTAAAGGTTCTTCTACCTCTTCAGGTATTGTATATTCACCTTTTCCTATATTTTCATATAATTTATAAATATTATCGCCTTGAAAAGGGTACTCACCCGTGGTTATATTGTACCTGTAAAATATTTATAATTTTACTAACACAATTTTTAATAAATCATTTATTTTATAAACAATAAAATCTAAAGAATTTATAGCATATTTTATATATAATACTAAATTATATGAACATACACTTACAATGTAACTCCACTGCTCCATATATCTACTTTAAAACCAGAAAATGTTTCACAGCCATTTGCAATTTCAGGAGGCTGAAATGCTGGTGAACCTTGTCCCATTTTACAGGTATCATCTTCAGAAAACATGTCTAATGCCTAACAAAAATATATAACATAAGATGTATAATTTTAATAGAGTGTACTTTATTAATATTTCATTGTTTTATTATTTGTAAGCATACAATTTGTAGAAACAATATAACATAAAAGCAAAGTAAATGTATACCTCTGCAACTCCAAAATCACTAATCTTCAAAGTGCCATCTAAAGCTAATAACAAATTCCCTGGCTTTATGTCTTTGTGTACTATTCCTTTACTATAAAGGTATTCTAAACCATCCAACAACTGACAGAAATAGTCATGCGCTTGCCAAATTGGAAGCTTCTTAAGAGGCGCGCTCCCTAACATATCCTGAAAAAAATCTAATAAATAGAAATCTAATTGTTGTAAATTCCATGCAGCTTTTCATTATATGTATATGACATTTGCATAAAATAACAGTATTTCTTAAAATAAATAAAGCTGTTATGCCATGTAAAAAGCACATTCAACAAAATTAAGAAAAGGTTCTCATTTTTTCAAATTGTTTGATTATTTTAAATTTTTCAAAATGATTGTTCTTATTCTGATTATTATATAATTTATATAATGGTATGAGCAAGTTTAAAATATTATAACGCATAGCAAACACTATTAACAAATCTTTATGAAAGCATTATAAATTTTTACAAATATCTAATTTTTACATGAATTATATCTAAAATTTCAAATACAATAAAGTATTGATTTATATAAAGATATGTGTGCAACATGTTCTAAAATGAACCATATAAGGCTTTTAAACTTTACCTGTAATCCACATACACAAAATTCCATAACTAGGTACATCTTCTCCTTTTCATCATTATATAAAACATCTACAAGGTTAATTACATTCTTATGTTTTAATATCCTTAATAGTTTTACCTCCCTGTTAATGAATGCGAACAAATAATATTTAGAATTATAGAAAGTAATTATATACATGACTTAAAAAGAAAAAGCATATGTTATTTTAGCATATCAATATACTTCTTTTGTAAGATAATGTTAATTGACCTATGAAAATTAATAAGTTGGTTCGAATGTATCATTAGATTTATAATATTAAATATTTATATTTGCATTATATCTTTTCAGTTTATACGTGAATTTTATATTGAAACATGTGTTTAATTCTGTAGATGTTTACATCAGATTTGTTATTTTAATTTCTTGTGCATTTCTTATTTTTGTTTTACTAGTATAAATGTTAAGTAACAAATAATACAACTGAATGTAGTACTAAATATATCACTTATCTGCTGCAATAATGATATAACTCAAAGAAGTTCAAATATTTAGACACGTCAGAACTTTGTTTAATAATTATACCAAAGTTGCTCATTTTTAAAAACTTATTTTTAAGATATTATTAGTCAAAATAGTAATAACAAAAATTTTTCTTTCTAAAAAAATAATGAATTTTGAGATATATCATTGTTGTAGCAAATGAGCAATGTGATGTTGTACTTGTAAAATTTAATAAATATATACAGAACATCCCATAAATTTCCATATAAAGCTTACCAACTTTTAGGAGAAAATGAGGCAGAAACTTAAACAACTTACAACTGCATTTTTGTGCATTTAAAGTACTGTCTACTTCTTCTATTGCCAATGAGAAAATCTAAAAATATGGTGCCTGAACTGTACAATGAAATGCATATCTGCGTACCCTTGATTTAAAAATACTTTTGGCATTTGGAAGAAATTAAACTATTAGTTAATTAGTTAACAACACAAAATGAAAGTAACATTAATGTAAAAGCAATAAATATACTTTATATTAACAGATAGCTAAAATAATAAAAACTTTTGCTAGTTTTATATTTGGCTAAGGGAAAATGTTGGATCCTTTTCGTTTCATACTTTTATTGTAACCTTTTAACAAAACATTTGTGAACTTTTTGTCATGTAAAATTTTAGTCTTCTTTTTATCTATAGAATATAAAACTTTATATGTAAATCTGAGAAACATTCTGTATACATGTGTCTCTGCGTTGCATATCAATATATTATCAATCTAAATTACTTCCGATGAATTTTATTATAAAAGTGGAAACACCTAAAAGAATATGAAAATTTCTTGATCATACCGTTGAACGTTAAGCTCTCCATTTGGGATTCTACGAAGTTTCTTCTTTTTTAAGATTTTCACGGCTCTTCGACAAAGTGTCTCTGAGTCCAACACTTCTTTCACCTTTCCGTAACTACCTTCACCAAGAACATCACCCATAACATATTTACCAATAAATTTACATTTTTTCTTTTTTTCTTCATATATAATTTGATCTGAATCCACCCTATGGAAGAACATGTTGATTTCATCCAAATCATAGTTTGGATCATCGTTGATCCACGTGACTGGCTCAATATCTCGAAATATTTCATTGTCGATTTCTTCTTCTTCGTCTGGGTCACATATTGTGATCCTATTGTCCATTTTTCACAATGCTAATCAGACTAAAATCACTGAAAACCACACAACTTTAACCTAAAACACGACCGGCACCACCATTGTTGTGAATTGTAGCTGTGTATGCCACCACGGCTTGTGATAACAAAGGACACGATCATCACCCTAGTTCCGGAACACATGTGTACTGACTATACTAGCGCTTAAATTCGAAAATGCGTATTTTGGTTTTCTAACAGAAAATAAAAAATTTAATTAGTTATTTCATATTTACATAAATTATTTTTTGACTTTACAAATATAATATTTCGCTTCCTTGTTTATTTTAGGTTTCCTTTTTATATTTTAATGATTATAATTATTCATTTTATAATGGAAATTAGTTACAGTCATAAAAGAATGTTATTTAATTTTATGAAAAATATATTCGTGTGCAACATATACACATGTAGATGTAAGTGTATAAAATGATTTTTATTGAAAATTGGTCAAAAAAATATAATGTATGGACAATGTAAATAATTATTTCAGCCGAATTTATAATACACATCAGACGCTTTTTATAAAAATGTTTTTGCCACCATACAGAGTAGCTTTTATTCAGATCCAGTTTTATAAGATATAAAAATCAATAAAAATGAGTTGATTAATAGGTATTGCTAAATTACAACGTGAGATATATCTTCTTAAGAAATGTTCTAAACAATATAATACTGACTAAAATAATGGAACACCGTGCGAAGAAAGATATTTAATTTATTGTATGTATCAAAAATTTCATTTACTAATAAATAATAATTCGGAAATTTCATTGTAAAATGAAACCTTACTCAAAACGTTCCCAGTATGTTACACAATTTTGTATCCTATTCCATTCTCCTCGAATTTATACAAATGTATGTAGTAATTATGATATGCTCTTTCTACAATTATGTACAATACATGAAAGTATATATCTTCCAAAACAGATGTTTAAACCAAAAAACATCTAGGTGTCACTTCATGATTTTATACAAAAATCATGGAATGCATTAAAAAATTATACTTTATAATCAAAGGGTCATTTTATATTACATATAATGAGAAAACAGATGTATTTTTATATGACATATTATCAATGGTGGTGACCCGTAGTAATTAATGCAGGTAAAAATGAGCCTGTCACTAAAACTAGTATTTCCTTAACTTTAAGTCCAGAAGACACTGTAATATTTTCAGCAGTGGGTAGATGCGCATAACTGCTGTTATTTCTTGTCATTAATTCTGGTAATACATGTACAGTTGCAACATATAGGAATGTACCTGCACTAAACAACATTGCCAAGCCAGTGGCATTAACATTGCTAAGTGTTTCTTTTCCCTCCTAAAAAAACAATTATTTTATAGTAGTACATAAAATATTTAAAATATTTAAATAATATTCAACTGTTTAAAATTAAAATAATTTACCTTCCCAATACCAAAATATGTTAGAAGAGCAAGACAAGGCGCAGCAAAAGAAAATACTAGAAGATGTCTACCTATTCTTTTTCTATCTACTCCTTCATGAAGTAAAAATGATACAAGACCAAATGCAGCAGGTGCCTATGATAAATTTTTTAACTTATTTAGTACATTCCGCATATTCTGTTTATTATACAATAATTGGTTACCTTATGCAACATTATTGCTAAGAAAACAATCAATTCTACGTCAGCTTGTGACGTTGTTGCAGCAGCTCCTAACGCTACTCCATCTGCTGCTGCATGAACTACAAGACCTATAGTAGCAGTAACACTTTTTTCTCTTCCACCGCTTCTTCTAGCTGAACACTGATCAACCAGAAGCATAAATACAAAACCAAGTATTAAACTAATACCTATTAAGGAGTGAGGATCATCTAAAAACAAAAATCAAGAATAGTAAATTATATTCGAATTAGACTAAGTTCCAAATAAAAACTTTACGTATTTAAATTGATTATGCAAAATAAAAACTTTTTAAGATAAAAATGTTTCTTTTTTATTGTAGTATATCAAATAAATGAAAAATGATTATATTATTAATTATAATAAATTATGATATTACAATTATTACTATAGTTTAGTTGAATTACTTTAATACTAACTATGAAATCCTTGGTCATTGTTGCTTCCTCCAGTAAACAATGCTCTTATACCTTCAGGTATAATAACGGCTAGTGCAGTGCCTACAAGAAGTCCGGCACCGAGTATCGAAACCAGTTGTAATTTATCCTAGAAAGATTAAAGGTTCATGATGTTCATGATCATGGAGTTCTTTGTAGAATCTGTAACCAGTAGTTCAAGTACATGACAATCACAGAAACTGATAGATAAAAAAGGTGTTGTCTTTTCATCTACCACCAAAATCAATGAAAACATTACCTCAGATAAATTTATAACTAATGGTAAGGATCCAGCTATGCAAGAACCAATTAACATTACAAGTGAAAGCATCCACAAAACCGAACTTTCTTCCATTTTTTAAGATGTATTTTTGTTAATAAATATAGGTATTCGCCTCATCGATTTGGTATTTTTATATTAGAATTTGTAATCAACCAATCGACTACTTAGTATTTTCTAAAATAGTTTAGTTCTCTCTAATGCTACAGCTTAGTTAAAAAAACAACTTTTATTCATGCTTAACAATCTGTTTTGTCTACGTAGCAGTTTTCGCGGTGAGTGCTATGATCACGAGAATGCTATAAAAGCGACCCGCTTTTACGACCATAGAAAACATTATTACTGATTTACTTTAAAAAGTTGTTACTTCGTTAAATATATAATTAATATTTAAAATAGTAATTAAAAATTAATTTTTTAACAAGAGTAACATTGTTTATTCAAAGAAAAGCTTCTTATGTACTGTAACATTGAAATGTATTAATGCGATTGAATATGTATGACTGAAAAGATTATGTATATAATCCATCAAATTTTTAATATAAATTTATAAATTCAACTACACATAAATAAAAAGTATGGAGAATATTTATTTATATAAATGGCGTATAAGAATTTATTATAACTATTTTTCATTCTACGGAAGATCAAACTTCAAATTACGCAACTTGACTAACTTCAGTAGTCTCCTCACTATTTAATGTTGTACTATTATTATGCGCTTTTAACTCCGCGCATCATGTACACGGTGGATCAAAATGTATTAATAGGAAAAAAGAAACGCTCATGTAAGTAGCGTACCTAATAAAAAATCACTAAGTATATACGCTTATATATGACTGTCAAAGCAGAAAGCATATATAGTCCACACAGAATATATTTATTTATTAATTTTCTCTAAGAAATATGAGTTTATTAAATAGAATATGCTTGTCGATAGAAGTTTTCGTTCGTTTTGCGCAATTCGGCTTTGATTTGACCATGCACGTTTGGTAACCAAGAGCAACGTGCATGCGTGTTTGCAAGGTTCATGACACTAATCGTATATACCCGGTGATCTTTTATTTTGTATTATCCCTGTATGAGCAGCTTTTCCTCCTTTTTACAAATTTTGGACCATATTGTATATGATCGACCCAGTTGAAAGAGAGTCATAGTCGGGTATCTCTAAGTGGAAACGAGATTACTGAAGTTAGTTGAGTTGCACGAAATGAGCTGTTTACTGCTGAATAGGAAACTAGCGGAGCAACACCATGTGATGGGAAACCTATTGCAATTAGCTCTATTATGTAAATTCGATATAAACTTTTATTAATTAATTAAATAATAGATATGAAATTATTATTCCTACATCTGTACTTGAACCTATCAGGACTGATATGAACAAAATGTGTAAAAACTCGTCTTCCAATGAGTATGATCTTTCATAAAACGAATAGATATATAACAAAGTAAGTACTTGGAACTATATAACTTATTTCTCATTTTTTGTTATCAACACATTTATATGAGATATTATTATGATATTCACATAGTAATTATTAATATTAATATAATATATTTTTTGGTTTTGTTAATTTGAATTATTTCGCTAGATGGCAGATGTGTTTATGACTAGTGGCACCTCTGGTGAAAATATCAGTGTACTAAGCAGTAAGTGATTGGTAACGAGCTGAGTGAGACAAGTGATTGAAAAATGGCATCCGCGACGACGTCGCACAATGAGGTTTCGCAGGAATTTTCTGTCAATAAACTTATTCGTGTCGGTTATTACGAATTGGAAAAAACTATTGGCAAGGGAAATTTTGCTGTTGTCAAAATGGCTACCCATGTTGTAACTAAATCCAAGGTAAGTTTATTGTTAAGATCTTTTTCTTGCAAACACGGAATCCGTCATTTTGTCGTTATATTTTTGAATAACGACGTGAAAATATAAATTTCATCGTCTTTAGTGCTTTTTAAAAGGTTCCTACGTAACGACAATGTACTACAACATGGAAAGAATTAATTATAAATAATAGTTTACGAACCGATATTACTAACAAACACTACTAAATCGATTGAAATATGTTTCTTCGATGTTTTTCAAATCATTACCACTAATTATGTATCGAGTATCAATATAAAATTGAAGTACAAGTATCATACGTACGTGTACATGGAAATTTTTCATTGCAGTAGTTTTTTTAGTTTACATTAATTTTATTCAATTTTTTCTCTTAGCGTATTTTTTTCGTTTTTGTATAAAAATGTATAAGTATCATAGTACTATGATATTCCTTAATATTATAACTTAAACAGTTTTTATGATAATAGTAATACGAACAAATTTATGTACACTTTTGTTGTTTTATTATAAGGGAATATCTGTAAATAATAGAATGTAAATCTGTTATTATTAATTTCTTTAGTTTTCAGTTGTTGTTATAAATTTTATTGTAGTGTATACGTATGTAAAAGTTTTAAATGTGTATATAACTATATCTTTAACATTTTTGATTTATAAATATTGATTTGATTTATTGATATTAATGTTTAATTTTTAATTGTATATAGTCTAATGTATTTATTCTGTGATATACATTTCTTAAATGATACATGTTGATACATACATATAAACTTTAATAAATATTTTTTGTAGGTTGCTATTAAAATTATAGATAAGACGAAGTTAAATGAAGAAACTTTGGCTAAAATTTTTCGCGAAGTACATATAATGAAACGATTAAGACATCCACATATTATAAGATTATATCAAGTTATGGAAACAGAAAAGATGATATATTTGGTTACTGAATATGCTCCTGGAGGGGAGATATTTGATCATCTTGTAAGAAATGGAAGAATGCCAGAACCAGAGGCAAGACGAATTTTTCGTCAGATTGTTCTTGCTGTTCGTTATCTTCATCAACAAAGGGTTGTTCATAGAGATCTTAAGGTTTAAATATATATTTCTTTTTTTAATTTATTGGAAAGCTTATAAAGAATTTAATACAATTATATGTATTATTATTTTAGGCTGAGAATTTACTACTTGATGCAGACAATAATATAAAACTTGCAGATTTTGGGTTTAGTAATGAATATACTCCAGGTGTTCCACTTAGCACTTGGTGTGGTTCACCACCATATGCTGCTCCAGAAATTTTTGAAGGAAAGCATTATGATGGTCCACGGGCTGATGTGTGGGTATGTTGTTTTAAAATATATTTTTTTTTATGTTACTGCTTAAAATTTTTATATAATAAAATAATAATCTTAATTAATTGATTTTAGAGTCTTGGTGTTGTCCTGTATGTATTGGTTTGTGGTGCATTGCCCTTTGATGGTCCCACAATGCAGGTACTACGCTCTGTAGTAATCTCAGGGAAATTCAGAATACCATTTTTTATGTCTGCAGGTAAAATATATTTTAACAGAATCATATTAAATAATGAATATTTTCTATGTTTCTAATTTATTTTGTCATGTTTTTACAGAATGTGAAAAGCTAATTAGACATATGTTGGTAGTAGAACCAGAACGGCGTTTAAGTATTTTACAAATTTTAGCACATTCTTGGATGGGTGGAGATGGTACAACAGAACCTGAACCAGGAGGGTACATACAAGCAATAACGCCTATTATATTTATAAAACAATTAATAATACCATGTTGTGGTATTGTTTAATTATATATTTTGTAGGTGTAGCCCTGAAAATGTGCCACCACAATTAAATCAGATAGTAATAGACAATATGTTGAAATTACCTGGGCTTACAGCAGAAACATTATTAAGTGCAGTCCAAGGAAATGCTTTTGATCATGTATCAGCAATATATAATCTTCTCGTTGATCGATTAGAATCAACAATGTCTAGTTTACCCAGTATACAAAGTATAACTGGAGATTATGCTCATGATGGAGCACACCAATTAGAAAAAGTAAATATCCGGTTACATTTAGTTTTATATAAAATTGCATTTTAAAACTTATTTATTTTTTTCTCTTTTATTAAGTTCGGCGATACAGAAGCAGAAACAGAAGAAAGAAGTGGAATGCAGCTTTCACCTGGCACACCTTATCACACAACAAGAAGACATACAGTTGGACCTGGTGATACAGCGCATCAGCCATCAACACAATATCCATATAACTATAATCATACATCAGGCGATCCGGCATTACGACTCCTTCCTATACTACAGTGTAATAACACTGATCCTCAGGTGTTACCTCATACAAATCTGCCACTAAATCTTCCTTTAGTTCAACATCAACCTCCTCAAAACTTTCAAATCAAAGATCAACATTTATTGAAACCACCCCCTGTGATGGGAGCAAGTAAGTGAAATAATATTTTTTCTGCATCTGGGATAATTCATTTTCTTTATTTGTAATAAATATTGGATTCATTTTAGCGGGAGGTTTCGGAAGAAGAGCTTCAGATGGTGGAGCTAATCTTCATGTCTTCTACCAGCAACATGGCAGTAATTCTAGTGGTGAAGATGGAGGATGGAGTCAACCTGGGAGTAGAGAACATTTACAACCTGTAAGAAAAATGATTAAAAATCATTACAATTTAATATTAAATGTTATTATTGTATAAAATTTTATAGATACAAAGTGGAAGTCCAACGCTTGTACCGTGTACTCAGTCGTTAAATGTGGGAGTTAATACTGGAAATGGAGATGCGAATGGCAATAACAGTGGAAGTGGTAGTGGTGGTAGTGATAGAAGAAGACGAAGTGGTCTTACTGCCGTCATGCAAAGACCAGGTACTGTGGATTATACCTTTCAGGTATTCGTGTGCACATTACCAATGCACTTTATTATAACATATTTCACATCACTTCAGTGAGATTCGATTATTATGATTTGCTATATAATTTAATATAAAAGCTTGGTATATTACTTCGGTTTTAAAGCTGTAAGTATGATCATTATGCTTTGTTCATATTTTTTTTGCTGTTGCAGTATTTGCACATTGATATTTTTTCCTTTGATAGTGCATGATAAGTGTTTCCGTTTAAAAAAGAATTATTCTTGTTGTCAGTTATATATCCATATAAATATATTTATATTTACAATACGATTTACTATATATTAAATGTAAATATGTTATACTTTAAATAATTTTATTTTAATTGTTTTATTTATTGATGCAGTATACATATGCACTATACTTTCCACAATTTTTAAAATGTTTAATTTTTTGACCTTAATTATAGTGTTTCATTTTATATTATTTTTGATTTTGCATGGTTTTTTTGTGTCCACTGCACTGCCGTGCCTCGTTGGTTGGTAATATGCATGTAGTTATAAACCCGGAAATGGTAATGGAGGTGGAAGCTAGGATGAATAGAGCTTACCTTCCATCACGGCTCTTACCAACTCACCTTAGAGGATCAACACTTCCACATCATAGGAAGACTTCCTTGTATCATACTAGCACTGGTAATTTTTGTGTGGTATTTTGCATTTTGTATAAATAGAAGTAATTGTTCTAAATATTATTTATTCACTACATATTTATGTATAGTACTTATATATGGACTGTATAGAAGTTTGATTCGTACAATTTCAGTAATTGAATAATTTATTAAGTAATTTATATTTCATTGTTTACAGTAGGTAATAGAGATTCATACAAAGAACCAAGTACTCACGTTTCTACAGAACGATACTCGCCTGTTCGGAGAGCGTCAGAAGGTTCCGGTCCACCTGGCCCTGGAATTCAAGCACTTCAACAAGAGTATCAACAGCTGCAGAGGTTAGCATCACCATCACATAGTCCTGCAAGTATTCCTGGATCTCCTGTACATGAAAGAGGGGTGGCTGCAATCACACAAGGTATTTCTTATTATAATAAACTTTGAAATTTTTATTTATTACTGTAAAAGTTGAAAAATAATGTTATAAAATTATATTTCATTTGTTAAAATATTCATATTGATAGGGTTAAGTGGATTGACCACAGCAGTCCAGGGCAGTATAGTTCATGGTACTCCAACGCAACCACCAGCAACACCATTAGATTTGAGTCCATTGAGACATCATAGATCACCAGCTACTACGCCAGTCAGTTATTCACCTAGTAATAGTCCAGCTTTAGATATGATTCAAGAAGAGCATCCTGTAGAAATATCAAGAGTAAGTAATAATCTATTCCTTATATTTCTGTTGTTCCAGCTTTTAATAGATAAATACCACGCTTTCTTGTTATAGGTACCGCCTCAAATATCTGTAACAGATCTTGGAGGACAAGTGACACTTATCAGTTGTTCACCATCGCCATCACCATCCCCTGATTCGCTGGAGGATACGTTACCTCATTATAGTCCACTTCCCAGTTTTATGATCTCCGAGCCGTGTGATACGACGAGACCGAGCATCACACGTGGTATTGGTAGGCCATTAAATACATCAATACCTACGGAAGTTGAAGTTACTTTATCAGATGAATCGAGTAGGTTGAATTCTGAAGCTATATTAGGCCGTGTGAAACAAATAATAGATGCAAGAGCCCCTCCAAAAGGATTTATCTTCTCTAGAGAAGAAGTGAAGGGTAGTGGGCTTAGTTTAGAATACCCAGGTGGTGTTCAAATTGAACTTAGAGTATGTGAATCTGAGGAGAAAGAAGTAAAAGGCATTAAAATGCGAAGAATTAGTGGGGACCAATTACAGTACAGTCAACTTTGTCAACAGCTGATCTCGTGCATTACCGTTTGACGACAACCAGCATATAATATAATGTTTTTCTTATACGTTACGTTACATTCCTGGTGCCACACACCACTCATTACAGTATTGCACATGCATGCTGCATATGTACGAGAAAGTACTTGAAGCATACCATTCTTTATATTAATACATTCATATACATGTATAAAATTCAGTGTGCTTCACTTTTGAATGTTTCTTTTTTTTTTCATTTTTTTTTTTTTCATTTGATTTATAGATTAAAAAGAAAAGAATTCACGTTAACTTATGCATAATATGAAGTTAGAAAAGAAAAGTTACGATAATCTTTTAAAGTCTTGGTATTAAGACTTTAAAAGATATATACAAATATACATATATACTTTTATGTAAGCAGGACGTACGGTTTTGCTGTTTTTAAACGATTTAAGTATTAACAAAACAAGACGATTTTCATAAAAGTTTAATTGTTAATGTACATCACATACCATTCCTTTTTGTAGAATGTTTGTCTTCGTGTTAGAAGTTCGTAGATAGTAAATTCATATTCTACTGTTTTTAATAATCAGCAGGTGCCCTTTCGTTTAGTTTAGGCAAAAAGGAAAACGTCTTTTGTACCGGATTAGATGGCAAAATGTAAACGGTGATCCGTGTCTTTCTAAAATAACGGAAATATTTTATATCGATTTTACAACGTTTATTTTATTGTCAAACGGTTTTAATTCCTTGACACATATTCCATGTCTGTAAATATTCGTTTTATAATGATCGCAACCTTTTTCTTTTATGTTATTGGAACTGGAAAGAATTGCCTTCTTGTTTCTGGTACAAATATCATTTTGTTGGATAATAGGTAGAAGTATATATATGTAATCTTTTATATAGTGCAAATACTTTATTGTGGTTTGTAGTTAAAAAAACTACATAGACTGAGTTATGATTGTATATCTTTCTTTTTTAAAATCGGACATTGCGTTTACTGCAATTCATAAGCGAATGATATTTGCTTAATATCATAATCAACGATTTTATTAATTTTTAAAACTAAAAGGAAAAAATCGATGTAGGAGAAGTATACTTTCCGCTTGTTGTGCTTGTAAAGCATTTTAAATCATTTAAAAAGGAAAGTATGCAACCTAGCTCTCCTTGTGTAACCAAAGAGTTGAGTTGCTTTTATACTGTTAAATACGAAAGGTATTTTTTATTGTCCGTATTCTAAAAAATAATATGTGAACATCCATAGTAAATGACTAGTTATCATAAAATGAAACTGTAATTAGGTTGAATCATATTATTATTAATTATATATTACAATGATTAGGTAAAAGACATTATATTAGTGTCGGCGTATGAAAAGAGCTAGAAGTTTTAACTGATTTAACATCAAATATTTTTCGAAATTTATTTGTTTATGAATTAAGCAAAAAAATATACAAAGAAATATTTCTTGTTTATAGTACAAGTTGCAATGATTGTTTTACAGAATACAACTTGTATATTTTATTTTATCTGTCTTATTTTGTTACTATATGTATTTGATTTTCTTTTTTCGAAGAAAATACATATTTTAGTGATTGATGTTTTTACTCTCGTATTAGATTTAATAATCTAATGTTTAAACATAGCATTCTTAAATTAATGTTATTTTCTGATATGTATAAATATAAAAGAGCAAACAAATACAAGTTGTATTCTGCGAATAATATTCAGCAGCATGGTAGTTCTTGTACTAATATACATTTTCTTTTTGAGTATTCCAATTTAGATCATGGGTTAATTTAAGTTTTTTGGAAGTAACAATACTTCTATATTTATGTAAATAACGAAATTTAGTGTAAATACATGATATATACTGTTTAGAAATTTCTAAATTACACAGATATATATATATATATATGTACATGTATATATATTATATATGTATATATATATTATACAGGCTATTCTATTTGAGCTAACTATTTTTAATACTCTAGTTCACTGAATCTTTGTTAAAACAAATGTTTTCACAACATATTTTATTATCAAATTTCCTATGGGAATATGTACATATAAACTATATATTTAATGAGAATCACAGTTCAGTTTAAAAAATGAAAAAAGAATTAACAAAAAACCAAAATGATATTTGCATCATTTAAATCAAACTATGAATTTCCGTGCTTTCTAATTATATGAACTAATTAATTTCATTAGTTAGCCAAGTGAGAGTAGCCTTTTAAAACTATACAATGCCCAATTTCCACCAAACAATTAATTGTTTATTAATTAATTTATTATTTTGAAGCTTTCTTCTATAATGAATATACCACTAAATATTGTAATATACTTTAATAATTTCTTAAAAAATTATTTATTGTGTAATACATACTGTAATGTATTCTGTTATAGATCATTATAAAAAAATATTGCTTTTGAACGTTTGGCAAATAATATTTTGATTAATCTTTAGAAACATTTTATGCATTACAGTACTAGTTTGGGTCTTCCTTATAAATTGTAATTTATTTTACAGTTCTGAAATATGTAATCTGATATTTATGTATAAATCTAATCACAAAATATGCTTATTATGCAAGTTATAAAGCCCTATTGACATGAAAGCTGTTACAAAATTATATTTGAAATTTTTTAATTATATTAAATGTTATCAATAATATTATTTCATTTTCTTTTAAAAAGTGAAATGTATATAACAGAAGTACTAAATGATTTGACATTTAATTATTGAGCATACGCTTATTTTAATAATATTTTTGTGACATGTTTGAGTATGCCCTTAAAACAATTATGTATTGATGGAAAATGGGTTAAATACTACTATCAACTACGCACAACAGTGCATACCAATGGAAAGTTTAGATCGACATAATTCAAATTATTGTAAATAACACTATACATAATTATTCATTTAGGATACATACAGTGTGTATGTATGCAGAAACAAAACTATGTACATTGTAAACATTTACTATATGGATAGGATACAGATAGTATTTTCTGCTGTCAATTCTTCAACTAAGACTGTGATTTCTAAATATACTAATGGCTAGGTAGATACAATACATATTGATTGAATATGATAAAATAAAAAAATATTCAAGATATCTGCATTTTTAATGTGACCATTCTTCCTGTATTAGGCTAAAGACTTAAGTATAAATATTTATTATTCATTGTAAATTTTTGTATAATTTTATACTTTAGTTCAGCCTGATATGAGGTATGACATTGTTGGATTATATAAATACATTATAAATTAATCTTCTATAGTATTATTTCATTAGAATAATACATAAAAGGTAAAGTGTTTAAAATTTTTATTATAAAAAATAAATATGAAACATTAATAATTTTTATAATAGTCAAGAATAAATATTATGAGTTCTTATTAGATAAGATTGATAATAAAAATTATAGGAAAACTGTTGTATCTTCTGCTCAATGAGAGATCATATCTAATCATAATCTCTCTCGCGCATCTCGGCTAACTTCAGTAGGATCACTTCCTAAAGTGAGCAAAAGTATGTGAACATAGGAAAGAACTGATGGTATAAGAAATATACAAAACAAAAGCCCACTGGGCAGTGTTTGAGCGCCGATCAGTGTTTGGCAGTCCCAGCGCATGCGCAGTAAGCTATCCGTAGAAGTCCTCAGTAGCGTATACACTTTGATGAAATATAAGGTATCATTAGGCCCTAGTGAGGAAAAAAAAAATCTTAAGAAAATTGCAGGAAAGAGAATAAATGGGTTAAATAATACAACAGATTATATATAATAAAAGTAATATTAAATTTATTTATGATTATTATTATTTTTTACGTCTGCAGCCGATTTGTTATATGAATACCAATATTTGTTGCAAGAGCAAAGGAAAAAGATACCGCTCGATTTTTATCGGATCTATGCATGTTAACAAAATAAAATCCATGTATTTCTTTGTTATTGTTTCTCTGATATTATAATTTTCACACGTATAAAATATAGTTATTCAAAGAGGTCTTTCCAAGTCGTTTTCCATAAATAATAAATTCATTTAATGTTTTAAAAGTTATTGTGCTTTTGTGTTATTTTAAATATAATAGTCTCCCATATTCCATCATACTATTCCCATTATATTATATTATATAATTCACGACATTGTATATATAGTTGTATAGTTTTATACAGTCATATATATAACTACTTATATTACTACACATATTACTACGCATATTACTACTTTTATCATCATTATCCTTATCATTCTTAATATTATCAATATTATTACGCATATTACGACTACTATCATCGCTGGAACTATAATTATCCTTACTACGCTTATTGTTATCAATATTATTACACATATTACTACTTTTATTATCATTATCCTTATTACTCTTATTATTATCAA